CAACCTCATTTGCCAAGAAGGTATTTTAAATAAAAAAACGGCGTTAAGGCATTTTAATTGATTAAAATTACCAATTAGGTCTTTTTTTCTCGTCGGCGACCACTTTTCCGGCGAGAACTCGTCACGTGCGTGACACGTGATGACTTAATCTGTATAAATACTCATATTGATATTTTAATTCAACTCAATTTGCCAAGAAGGTATTTTAAATAAAAAATCGGCGTTAAGACATTTTAATTGATTAAAATTACCAATTAAGTCTTTTTGCTTGTCGGCGACCACTTTTCCGGCAAGAACTGGTCACGTGCATTTTAATTCAACCGGTTTTCTAACGTGGTAGTGGCAGGAAGAATAAGAGTCGATGCATTTTAAAATCCCCCATTTCTAAAATTGGTAAAAAAATTAGCGAAAAATTCGTGGAGAAATTACCGTATAAATAGAACCTCTTTCTCTTGCATCGATCCATGGCCGCGCCGGCGGCAATCTAGTCTGCAGTGATCTTCGTCTTCTCACTCTCTTCTCTCCGAATTCCTATGGCGTTTTCTTCTAGAAGTTCCTGGAATCGGGGGTTTTGGCTGCTTCTGTTAGCGGTAAAGGTAAGATAATTGAGTTGGATCTGAGATCTGGAGTGAATGCGTGGAAGTTTGATCTTTGTTTTGAAATGTTTAGGGTTCAGGTTGGTTCGTTTTGGACTTAAATTGTGATTAAGCCACATCAACAGCTAAAACCGAGCCACATCCGCAAACCGAGCCACATCATTAGCTAAAACACAGATTAAGTCATCACATGCCACACACGTGACGAGTTCTCACTGGAAAAGTGGTCGCCGACGAGAAAAAAGACCTAATTGGTAATTTTAATCAATTAAAATGCTTTAATACCGATTTTTTATTTAAAATACCTTCTTGGCAAATGGGGTTAAATTAAAATACCAATATGGGTATTTATACAGATTAAGTCATCACGTGCCACGCACGTGATGAGTTCTCGCCGGAAAAGTGATCGCCGACGAGAAAAAAGGACCTAATTGGTAATTTTAATCAATTAAAATACCTTAATACCGATTTTTTATTTAAAATACCTTCTTGGCAAATGGGGTTGAATTATAATACCAATATGGGTATTTAGCTGCGTACATAGGGCCCCTGACGAGTAAGTTCAAAGTTTAAAGGGTGTTTTGGGGTTATTTGAGATGAACAAAGTTTAAGGCATGTGTAACACCACCTAAAATTTTAGAGTGTCATGTGAAATTAACCCGATGATTTATGGGTTAAATTAAGGTTTAATTTCACAAAACATACATGAATTTTGGGTGAACTTTTTGGCGGACTTTGCATATGGCACCTTTAACTTTTTCAGCACACAAGACACTTTTAGTAATTTCTTCATTGGACTGTTTGACGCAACAGTGAAAATAAAGGAAGCCTTACCACATGGACTTCCTTAAAAATAAAACACTAAAAACTAGTTATGGTCTCTTCAAAAGAAATTTTTATTCTAAAAGATGACAGGCACTACCAAATTACAAAGTATTTAAAGTAAAACCCTAAAAGAAGAAGTTTAAAATAAAATTACTAAATTTTACAACAATAAATAATAAAACAGTACTACAAATTTGAGGCCCTCAATGATCTCAGATGTCCAAAAAACAGCGGACCTCATATCAAAGCTATTAGCCTTGCTCGTTGGCCTATTTTCGCTTGAGTTGTGCAAAATTTGGCCCTTCAGAAAACTTTGATTTATTGATCTTACATAACTTTTTGTCCTACATCAATTTCTCTTATGTATAATGTTGATGTCAGTTATCAAATAGGTGATCGTCTGCAAGTTCATGGATTGATCAGGGTTCATGCTCTCCTTCTAATGAATGAATCCAGGAGACATTGTTCTTCTCTGCACAAGAAAGAACTCGTAAGAGGCCGGAGTTGGGTTCTCTGACGATCAAGTTAGCAATTGATTTTGAGTTGAGGAGTATTAAGTCAACTTTTAATTTTTTTAAAATAAAATACTAGAGAGATCTTACCTCATGCAGTGCCTCCCCTTTTTTTAGTGATTCTAAGGAGTAAGAAGGCAACTTGGGCCGAGTCTAGCTAGGCAGCTGAGTCGGCAAACAGCTGAAAGGTATGACTGCTGCAGAAGATGGGTTATCTAGGTGGTTAATGCTAGGCGACAACACCTGCTTAGTGTTGACGGGACCTGATAAGTCATAAAGACTTTGTTGACTGGAGTAATAATGACTTTGTCAGGGCAGTTAATGCAATGTCAAGTGGTTGTCTGGTGCAGGGTTCAAGAAAACTGCCAATTCTCTTAGTTGTCAAGCTGATAGTCAACTATACATGTTGATGGCCTAGGCCTAATAGGGGTTATTCGTAGAGGTGATTGGTCGGGTTGGACAAAAAGTACCGCCTTTTGTTTTGGTTACGCGAGATGTCGGCCGAATAGTGGGCTGAGTCGGATTGCTTCAGAAATTAATTGAAGGGATGGCCGAGTAGTACTACATTTTGTTTTGTTTATGCGAGATGTCGGCCGAATAGCGGGCAAAGTTAAATTAGAGATTATTTTAGTTTTGACTTAATTGCATTAGTGTAAGACACATGCCCCACTGTTTAGTGAAGATTGACGTTAATATTTTTTAGGGGTATAACATGTAGTCTGGCAAATAATCGAAATGTCATTGAGAGAGGGGGAAAAACCCTGAGTTGGGTGGAGGGATTTTTCTAATAAGTTTTTCTAATTTTATTGTCAACATGTTTATCATAACGTGGTGATTTTTTCCTCCAATTTTTAGTAACAGATATAATATTATTATTTATCTCGAAAAAAAAAGGGGTTATGAAAATGGAACCAGATGTCTAATAATTTCATCAACTTAAGTATTCCAGTTGTTTACCCAACATTACATGTAAAATACCCTCAGTTGTAAATAGTTGCGCTTAAATACCCTAAAATTCAAAAAGTTTGCACATTTTTAAATTAAATATCTCTGACCATTACATCAAATCTATAAAGCTATGAAAATAACTAAGGATTATATTTTTATATTCTAAACATGCCCCCATAGGTTGAGAACCTTTTTAATTGGTTGAAACCTGAACTCACGCAACGATATCAAATTTTTAAGAATCCACATTAAATTCAAGGCCAGTGGGATGTTCTCATATGGTGAAGAGTTTAGCGTTTGCTGTAATACTGTTTGTGGAAAATTTGTAATAAGAAAAATAATGAAAGAATCGTATTTGATTTATTCTCTCTAACTGATTAGAAAAAGAATGATTACAACTCTCTCGATTTCGATTACAATTGGATTTCCTGATTACAAAAGAGAGGAGAATGAATTTGACTCTCCCCTTTGTTTAAAACTGGGTTCTTCACGGTGGCGATTGAGTACCTCCCTCGAATGCTCGTGTCGAGTTTGCTCTCCGTTGACGATCCGAACGTCTTGATTCACTGGAACGTGGTCTTCTCCTCGCGATTTGACGTTGTGAAGGACTTGCAAAGCAAGTTTGAAACTCTGGACGAGTTGATAACTCAGATCGAGTTTAGAAACTCAGAACGAGTTTAAACTCTGTAACAGAGTTGATTTGAACCGAAAATCGGTTAATAAGCCAGGGATGAAAGCTCCAAGGAATTAATGCTCCAGAGATTAGCGAAGACCCCCCTTTTCTGATCTCCATATCCGAGAAATCACCAAGATCCGAAGATGATCTGCTCAAGAGGTTGCTGATCTCTCCTTTTGCGATCTGTTTTTGATGCAAAAAGCCGATCCTTTAACTCAATTGAGTTTCTGGTATTTATAGGGGATTAAGGGTGATAACTACCCCCTTAATCTGCTTCTAAGTGGGGCGAAAATCCCTCAAATCATGGGGGAAAACGGTTCTTGGAACTGTTCGGTTCGTGTTTGAACGAGTCAAACGCCGAAAATGGCGTTCTGGGCCCGAACTCTGCGTTTTAGACTAAAAACGCAGAGTTGGGCCTATGTTGGGTAGCTGAACGCACAGGCCGCGATGCGTTGTAAATCTGAAACGCAGAGTTGGAACACAGAGATGAACTCTGCGTTTTAGACCTGAGACGCAGAGTTGGAACACAGAGATGAACTCTGCATTTTGGACCTGAGACGCAGAGTTGGGTTCTGCATGGACTCTGCGCTTTAAGTCTACGAACTCTGCGTTTTGAATCTGGAATGCATCCACGACCTTTGCGTTTTGATCAAGACCTCAAATGCGGTCACGACCTCTGCGTTTTGGATCTGGAACGCAGCCACGACCTCTGCGTTTTGAGTTCAGAACGCGGGCACGACCTCTGCGTTTTGAATTTTGGATACAGAGGTGAGCCTTAGGTGGGCTCGGCGAGCTTTAGGCTAAATCCGATGTTCTGACGAAGTCCAGTCTTGCAGACGGACTTCAGAACATAACTTGCTGCGAAGAACATGTCATAACTTTCAAACCGTAAGTCGGAATTGGACGAATTATATATAAAAATCGGCTATCTCGATGAGACGGAGCCGACCAAACCTGAAGGTCGTCATATTATAATTTCCATCATTGGTGTTTGATGGGGATAAGCTATCTGTAGTGATTTTTAGACAGCCTACAAATACCTTGGTAGTACATATGATTGTCTTTAGAGTGCTAGGTCTACAATGAATGAGAATGTACAAAGGAACACTCGGAGGGTTAATTACAAACCTTATACACACACACAATAACGATTCGTACTCTCAATTAAAAACCTATGATGCATTTTCTTAGACTGCCAAATTCCAGAAAAGATACGCTGCATATTCTAGATTGCCAAATTGCACATACGAAAAATAAATAAGCTGGAAAACAAAAACATATCAGATATTTTTGCTAAATGTTGACTAAGGATGTATTCCACATATCGATAACGCAACAGTTCTGAAACCTTTTGCAATAGACAAAATTAACAACATTGACCAGCCTAAATAAGATATGCAATAGACAACAGAGCCTTAAGGAAGTAGAAGCATTACAGTCACCTTTTGAAACTAACGAAATCAATAAAAAGTAACCGTTAACGCCAGATGTAATACACATCGTCTGAGCACATGGAATGGAGAAAACTAACAGTTCAAATGTTATCTATAGAACGTACACCAAGATGATAAGAATTAACGTTCATGTCAGTTCAAATGTAAAATTAATGTATGTCACTAAATCCTTGTAGAGTTCAAGATCACTTGAGAAATACCAATGACGGCTCGTTTCCCCAAATTTCAGTTTCAAAGTTGAAATAGGGTATAGGCAGAGACAGGAATGTGAACAGTAAAGATGAAATTTGCCATCCATCTAAAATCAGATTCTCACTTCAAAAATTGTAAAAAACAAAGAAATGAAAAGGATAATACCGCAAAACTAAAATTATAACCATCCAACTTTTATACAACAGTTACTAAGGGGGATGCTAGGCATTTTATTTTTACTTTTTAACTCTGTAATGATGAATTCTCAAAGTTCGGGGTCCTGTGAAACTTCCCACTCTTGGAGATCCTGTGCAAAAAAAAACCCAAAACTGTAGCTTGATATGCACATCATCTAGGAACCAGTTCTGAAAATCGCTGACAATTTGCATAGTTGATCAAGCAGCTCAATGATTCTGTTGTCAAGAACCGCAAAATCCACCTGTAAATAAGAAAAGCCATCAAAAAGTGTTAGACAAAGACACAAGATCTAGGAATAGGGGATGAACAGTAATCAAGTAGGTTGTTTGGCATGAACAGCGGTTGCTTGCTGTGGAGCTGCTTAGTTCTATCTGTAAAGAAGGTGGCAAACGAACTTGTCAATTGGGTTGGTGTTACGAGCTTTATCCCAGTGAATTTGATGATTTGAGAATGGTCAATATGTTTAGAAGCGAAAATAATGAGCCACTACCTACGCGAATAAAGGACTGGCAATCAGGTGACCCTTTAACTCACCAATCTAAATGTGCTCGGAATCATGAGGCTTTGCAGGTATTTATCGCTTATTTCTCTCTAAATTTCAGCCAGTACTAACTGGTTTATGGTGCATATGATCGTTAAAATTCGCCATGTTTTTTATAAAGAGATACTCATAAATGTTATATACACTTAATTAAATTTATATATTGGTTAAATGGTGCAAAAATGCACTGTTCTATGCTTATGAAGATGAAGAACTCATTTGTCGTAGATTTTTATGCTTATCAAACATTAACACTGACATTTGCCATGTTCCAGTGAATTTAGTTGCTTGTGGAGTAGTCTGACATAATGAACTTCTATGATATATCTAATCTAATCTGGGCCTCATTCCCATCTAATAATAGGGCTTCATAATGAACTTCTATGATATCCAATCTGGGCTTCATTCTCATCTAATCTAATCTAATCTAATTTATCTAATCTATAAAATCTAATCTAATTTATCTAATATAATCTATATCTATATTTATACCTCTATGTATATCTATCTATACTACACATAAAAGAGGATTCAAGTGTTAAAACTTCTTAATAGCTTTTTTGCCCCTCTAATTTTGAAATTTTCCATTTCTATCTTTAATTAATTGCATATAAAGTCTTATTCTCATTCAATATATACAAATTACATGCTCAATGTAATATATACAAATATTATAGCAAATATAGAATATATAGATAATTGATATAATGCACATGTCAAACTAATACTGTTATACGTTTCATTTTGCAACTTATGTGTCAACTTTGCCATTAGTGCATGCATTATATATACTTGAATCACGAGTTATATTTAAATTGCAACCTTTATCTCAGGGGCAATTAAAATAATTGTTATGGAATCCACAACCAAAGTAGGGACGATCTGGAACAGGGAGGTGTGTACAGGCCAGTATTTTGTTTACGTTGTTTAGCTAATTGGCAAGTGCGATATTGTCCTATTAACTTCGCAACATCTCTTTTAAGGCTTGGCCAGTAAAAAAAATTTCCACAGCCTCTATAGTCTTTTCACGACCGATGTCCAGCAAGACCTCCTGCGTGCAATTCCCAAACAAGATAATCTCTCAAAGAAGTACGGGGAATGCATAACTTGTGAAATCGAAATAAATAACCATCTTGGAGCAGAAAGCTATCTATCTCGGGAGTCGCTCCATTTAAAGAAACAAAGATCTCTCCAAAGTCGGGACATGATTCATATTCCCCTTTGATTCTTTCAAAACCCACTACCTCTGCACTCATTCGGTTTAGAATAAAAGTTCGGCGACTGAGTGCATCAACCACCTTGTTCTCAACTCCAGCCATGTGTTTAAGGGTATAAGTGTATCTCGTAGAAATTCAACCCATCGAGCACGCCTGGCATTGAGTTTCTTCTGAGAGTTAAGATACCGATGAGCTTCATGGTCCGAGTAAATAACGAATTCTTGCGGTAAAAGATATGTCGCCAATGGCGCAATGATTGCACCACTAAGTTTTTTCACTAAAGTACACAATGAGGTGCTTCTCCTGGCTCAATACTCCACCTATACCAATGCCTGAGGCGTCACACGCGACCTCAAACACCTTAGAGAAATCAGGAAGTCTCATAACAGGTGCATCAGTTATCCTTTGCTTGATATCTTTGAAAGAAGTGGCCGCTTCTTCGGACCATTGAAATTCCTCTCTTTTCAGGTAATCTGTAATTGGGGCCATAATAGCACTAAACTCCTTGATAAATCGCATGTAGAAAGTTGCGAGCCCATAAAAACTTCTTACATCGCGTATACTCCGGGACTCAGGCCACTCTACAATTGCCTAAACCTTTTGAGGATCAGCAGAAACTCCTTGAGAAGACACAACAAACCCCAAAAATATAACTTGGTCAGTCATTAAAACACATTTCTTGGGATTTGCAAATAACTTCTCTTTCCTCAAAGTGAGACAGACTTGATTGAGATGATCAATATGATGCTCCAGCGACTTACTATAAATTAAGATATCATCAAAGTATACGACCAAAAATTTCCCCATAAAAGGTCGTAGTACCTGAGTCATAACTCGCATGAAGGTGCTGGGAGCATTTGTTAACCCAAAAGGCATAACCATCCACTCGTATAGACCATCTTTCGTCTTAAAAGCTGTCTTCCACTCATCCCCTTGACGAATCCTAATTTGATGGTAACCACTCTTCAAATCAATTTTGGAAAATGTGGTGGCTCCAGACATCATATCTAACATATCATCTAGTCTGGGAATAGGAACTCAATAATTCACGGTGATTTTGTTGATTGTTCGACTATCAACACACATTCTCCATGAACCGTCTTTCTTAGAGGTTAGTAATGCCGGCACAACGCACAAACTCAAACTCTCTTTAATGAACCCCTTAGTCAACAGTTCTTCAACCTGCCTCTTGAGTTCGGCATGCTCAGTTGGATTCATTCTGTAATAAGACAAGTTAGGAAGAGTATATCCTGGAACAAAATTTGTAGCGTGTTGGATGTCACGCATCGGGGGTAGAGCGTCAGGGAGTTCTTCCGGGAAAACATCTGCAAATTCCTTCAATATTGGAGTTACTACAGAAGGAATTTGCTCTTGGGCGTTTTTGGTAATCTCCCTAGCAACATGGGCAACAACAGTAGACCGTTTAGCGACCTCCTGGTCCAGAGACTTAGAGCTGATCAAATTTAATCCTCTTTGGTTGTTAGAGGAAACGGTCCATTTAGGAGCAGATGGTGGGGCAGGTAGCGATGGAATTAATTTGATCTTCTTTTCATCATGGACGAATGAATGAGTGTTTGATCGTCCATAGATAGTGACATCTAGATCATATATCCAGGGTCTACCTAAAATAATGTGGCCAACGTCCATAGTAACGTCACACCAAATCTTGTCCGAATAAGTAGCAAAGTGGATCGGGACGAGACACCGCTCTTTAACCTCAATGGACGCAGTATTCACCCAAGATACTTTATATGGTTAAGGATGGGGAATAAGTTCAATCTGAGTACAGTCACCATGTTGGAAACGACGGCGTTGACACAACTCCCACTGTCAATTATGACTTGACAGTTCTTGTCATTGATCTTTGTGGTTGTGTGAAAAATTATAGATTAACACCAGTCGTCACTATCCTTAGGTTGAGCTAATGCGCACCTCACAACACTAAGTTGACATGAAAATTCGTTCACTTTGTTGATTGAGGGTGTGGGCACGCTCAAAAGAAAATTTGTTCACTTTGTTGATCGAGGGTGTGGGCACGCTCAAAAGACACCCTAAGATGGCATCGGCAGATTCATCCTCCCAAACATCTTCATCAGGATTGTGGACAATCTCTTCTAAGTCATCCCGGTCACTGTCCGATCGGGTCTCAACAATTAAATTTTTTGTCTTACTAGGACACTGAGCAGCAATATGACCAAATCCTTGACACCTAAAACATCGAGTAGATTGAGCTGATCTAGATTACTCGATGTAAACTCCCTTGCCTTTATCATCTGGTTTCTGCGAGGAGGTACTAGGTCCAGTTCGGGATTGAGACTGAGGTTGATTAAGTGGGGACTTAACAGTAGTGACCTTATTGGCGTTATTCACATTGTCTGTGTGTCTAGTGAAAGGAGAACCTTGTGATCAATCTAAATCTTGGACAAGCTGATAGGCTTGCTCTAAAGTGGAGATGTCTCGCCCGAAGAGTTCACGCCTAAGATCTTCCCTAAGTCCTGAGCAAAATCTAGATAAGACTACAATGTCAGATTCATTCTCGCCACACCTAACTAGAAATTCATCAAATTTGGTGATGTACTCCGACATTGACCGATTGCCTTGCGTCAGGCACTGCCATTGATCGAGTAAGTGTTGCTTATATGACACAGGCAAGTATTTTTCTTGGAGTTTCAATTTCATCTCATCCCAAGTTTGTATGCGCTCTTGCCTCTTAAGAGTCATCAGCTTCTCAACGTTAGACCAATATTGTCTTGCCTGACCCACAAGTTTCATTTTGGCAAATCGAATTCATCTCTCATCGGACATTTTATACCAACCGAAATAGCGGTCTGTGTCCGACATCCAATCAATAAAAACCTGAGGATCTAACTGGCCTTCGAAAGTGGTTGCCTCTAATTTAACGTACTTCAGATGCATCTCATCTAGGTCAAATGGTGAATTGTCCCTAGGTGGGCGATTTCCAAGACGGTTGGCGTGAGGACATATGTATTCATGAGGTTGATGGGGATATTGTCCAGTTCGAGATCCGTCATCTTCATCACGTTCATGGGGCCTGTCCGTCGCTCGGTCTAAACGTTCCCTCGTCTCTCAAATCTTGTTCAGCAATGTCAAATCGCGCAGTTAAGGCTTCTATGGCTTTTGTGAGGCTTCCAAGGTTGGGATCCATCTCGAAATTGGGATTTCGAAGGGAATATTGTATCCCACTTCGAGTGCGCGTGCAACAGGCTAGTTTCTAAATGCAAACTAGAGAATCTTAATAATAATGATGCAGTGAATTGTTAACTAATTTTTTCCTAAATGCAATCTATCAAAATGCAAAATCAATTCTAACACCTAACATGATGCCAGATGATAATGTGGACTACGATGGGAAAATGAGAAATCAACAAGGAGACCAATTCGCAATGTTCAATATGTTACCCCACGGCTTGTTACAAATTAGACATCAATTATTTAACTTGTGATAATTATATCAACAACAAATCATGCTGATAATATTGAACCGTAAGATTGTAGCAAGATAATTAACCAAGCTAGATTTGGAATAGTTCTAATTTAAAATCGAGATCTAGCACTAATAAAGGTAGAACAGAAACACACACTCACAAGTTTAGTGGACAGCCAACAATATTGATAATACGCAAGATGAACCAATATAAAAGAGATTGCAACAATTTCCAAATCAATTAGAAAGACGTAGAATTAATGATATTAGAATTACCTTGATGACGATTCACTAACAAACCTCTGTTAATGGTACTGCAGTCTGCGGGTTCAGGATGATTGACGTTGATGATTGTTGTTGCCCTTTGGGGAGATCGGAGAACTACAACGGAGTGAGCGGCGTCAGCGAAGTGGAGGTGAAAGTATGTGCGATGTCCTCATCAGAGCAATTACCTCCAAAGAATGCTCTAGAGACGAGACATGTCTCCCTGCAGCAACAGCAAACTTATCCACATGGACCTTTGTATCTACTTGATCCCAAATATCCTTCAAAGCACCTCGGGCTTCAGGCGACAAGTTCTCCCAAGCAGAATATGTAACGCTCTGCATAAAAAATTTTGATTTTAGTATGAAACAATTTCTTATAAAACATATCTTCATAATGTTTTATACCTGAATAGCTTTTTCACCCACATTCTGGTATTCTGCTGCAAGTCGCTAAAGTTCATAGTCGAAGTCCACAATCGAGACACCAGCAGTAGCACTAACCTGAAACCAAAGATATAGTAATTAGTGAATAGACAAAATATAGAAATTCAAGATGAAAGTTTGCCAAGAGTTGAACCTCCAATGTACGTGCAATGAGATCAACGTAATCCTCTTCGACAGTTGACTCTAAGTTTGAGTTTAGAACCTAGTAAACATGATGAATGCATGGTTAAGTGTAACAAGAATTTAGATATATAAACATGTTAAAAAGTTATTGGGCATTGTAAGCATACTTTCAGCTTTGTTAGCAATTCTGAGATTGTCGTTTAACTCTTTTTCCATCTTAAATTCTCTGTTCTGTAGATGAACCAATCAGACCAAACACGAACAGAAGCAAATACTTAGAACCATCATTTTGTGCTCACCCAGAAGTCAATAATTAAGCACACATCAAAGTATACACTCATTTACAAAACTAATACACTTTGTTGCAACCATTTGCACAAGAATGTATTAGGTTCTGTAAATGAGTGTATACTTTGATGTGTGCTTAATTATTGACTTCTGGGTGAGCACAAAATGATGGTTCTAAGTATTTGCTTCTGTTCGTGTTTGGTCTGATTGGTTCATCTACAGAACAGAGAATTTAAGATAAAAAAAGAGTTAAACGCTAATCTCAGAATTGCTAACAAAACTGAAAGTATGTTTATAATGCCCAATAACTTTTTCACATGTTTATATATCCAAATTCTTGTTACACTTAACCATGCATTCATCATATTTACTAGGTTCTAAACTCAAACTTAGAGTCAACTGTCGAAGAGGATTACGTTGATCTCATTGCACGTACATTGGAGGTTCAACTCTTGGCAAACTTTCATCTTGAATTTCTATATTTTGTCTATTCACTAATTACTATATCTTTGGTTTCAGGTTAGTGCTACTGCTGGTGTCTCGATTGTGGACTTCGACTATGAACTTTGGCGACTTGCAGCAGAATACCAGAATGTGGGAGAAAAAGCTATTCAGGTATAAAACATTATGAAGACATGCTTTATAAGAAATTGTTTCATACTAAAATCAAAATTTTTTATACAGAACGCTATGTATTCTGCTTGGGAGAACTTGTCGCCTGAAGCCCGAGATGCTTTGAAGGACACTTGGGATTAAGTAGACACAAAGGTCCATGTGGATAAGTTTGTTGTTGCTGCAGGGAGATGTCTCGTCTCTAGAGCATTCTTTGGAGGTAAGTGCTCTCTCCTCATGTTACCACTTATTCTACTATCTTTTATTCACCTGAACATTGAGAAAAGCCATATTACTTTAACATGGACTGGAACCTCCTCAACTGTTGGAATTGCTTTTTTTTTAAGTTGGAGCTTACGAGGAATATACAGATGAGACCTTGAGATCTTTGCGCAAATTTCAAGGATTAGGAACAAATAAAGCTATCTATTGAGGTTTTACAGTTGAAACTAAATATAATTAGGCACTTAAAGATTAGGGTACGCAAGGGTAAAAGAGAATGGTATTCTAAGGACAAAATCAACAAAGAACCCAACTTTACTGAGATTCCAGCAACATTTTGATTTTTGATATTTCAAATAGAACCCAGTCAAGAACTGCACAGCTGCTCTTAGGGTTTCAACGGAACAGGCTTGTAGAAGAATCTGTTCCCTATATCATAGCCAATCATCAAAAGATCCGACCTTTATACAAAATTTAGCAAGATTCACAGGAGCAAAACAAAACCCAGGTAGGAACTTGAAAGTTCCCAAGGCGTTTACAGAAACAACCAATCATGAGTATTTAGGGTTTCAACAAACCAGCATCAATTCGAGAATTAAAAAACCTAAAAAATTTACCTCAATCTGAGTTCCCCAAAACAGGATCAACTAGGGTTTTCCATCTCAATCCCTCTCTCTATCAATTGATAATCTAGAAAAAAAAATTAGGGTCTGGAGGAAGCAGAAAAGGGGAGAGGGGATGGGGGCGAGTTCGTAGGATAAGGGGGTGTTTGTTTCAATTTTTTTGGGATATAGGCTAGATTTCAAGTTTAGGGATGTAAAAAGGGGATTTTTTGGGTTTTGGAATTCCATAAACCATGTTTGTTTCAAAAAAAAAGGATAATGAATCCCCAAAACATAAAAAACTAATTTATTTTAGGATTTTGAGAAATCCTGTTTTGAGATCGGATGTGGGCTAGATCTCTGACAATCTCGTGTCCAGCTCATCACCCCTCCCTTTCCGTCCCCAACCTCACAAGCATGCGCGATGCTGCCAACGCCCGCAGCGCCTTCGCTGCTGCTCACTCCTCCTACATGATCGATCACTACGCGATTCAAGAAGAAGAGAACAACACTTACTTGAGAAACCCTAGAGACGCTCTAGTATTGATCTCGACAACCATCAAAGAATGGCATTAAATCTCAGAGGCGAACTTCGCAGCGGGATCATCGATGGATTTGGGATTTTTTAAGGGTTTGGAACAAAATACTCACTCACACGCGAATAAGTTTTTTGGGAGCTCGAGACCTTAACGAGTTTATTCGGGTCGGGTATAGTAACTTGTCTGAAATCCAAAACGACTGATGGGCTGGGTCAATTCTGATTTGGACTTTTGTATAATTAAGATAATGCTAGATTTATTTATTTTGAGTACTAAATTTGTGTACCAAGTTAAAATTTTGTGTAGCAAGTACTAATTCTGTGTACCAAGTTAAAATTCTGTGTACTAATTTTGATTTTCCCCCTACTTGTTCTTAGGATAATATTGTTAGTTAACTTTTTTTGTTGGATTTATTTTAAAAGATAAAATTTTGGAAAGTTAAGCACAAATTGTAGTAATTCTGGCAAAGCGATGCAAGTAAAAATTTATTATCTTAATTCTAGTTCATCTAGTATTTAGAGAAATTAGTTAAAAAATTGGAAGGCTTAATAAAAACCTGAGAGGCTTGAATAAAAATTGTATTTGTTTTTTTTTTGTAGGCGGTAAGCTCACCAAATATCTTATATTCACCATTTATTATTTTGGTAATCCTAAAACTTGTTTGTTACAATTATGGATTTTAAATTCTAAAATTTGTAATGTTGCAATTTGAGTTTGAAACAAACAAAAATTTACAAATTATAGCATTCCAAATCCCAAAATATTGATAAAACAAACAAAGTTTAAGGAATCAAACCCATAACAAAACACCAATGGATTTCAAATCCCATGGTAAAATCCATATCCTAAAATTATAGGATTTGAAACAAACACCCCCTAAGAGTGTTGATTAAGTGGGGACTTAACAATAGTGACCTTATTGGTGTTATTCCCATTGTCTGTGTGTCTAGTGAAAGGAGAACCTTGTGATCAATCTAAATCTTGGACAAGCTGATAGGCTTGCTCTAAAGTGGAGATGTCTCGCCCGAAGAGTTCACGCCTAAGATCTTCCCTAAGTCCTGAGCAAAATCTAGATAAGACTACAATGTCTGATTCATTCTCGCCACACCTAACTAGAAATTCATCAAATTTGGTGATGTACTCCGACATTGACCGATTGCCTTGCGTCAGGCACTGCCATTGATCGAGTAAGTGTTGCTTATACGACACAGGCAAGTATTTTTCTTGGAGTTTCAATTTCATCTCATCCTAAGTTTGTATGCGCTCTTGCCTCTTAAGAGTCATCAGCTTCTCAACGTTAGACCAATATTGTCTTGCCTGACCCACAAGTTTCATTTTGGCAAATCGAATTCATCTCTCATCGGACATTTTATACCAACCGAAATAGCGGTCTGTGTCCGACATCCAATCAATAAAAACCTGAGGATCTAACTGGCCTTCGAAAGTGGTTGCCTCTAATTTAACGTACTTCAGATGCATCTCATCTAGGTCAAATGGTGAATTGTCCCTAGGTGGGCGATTTCCAAGACGGTTGGCGTGAGGACATATGTATTCATGAGGTTGATGGGGATATTGTCCAGTTCGAGATCCGTCATCTTCATCACGTTCATGGGGCCTGTCCGTCGCTCGGTCTAAACGTTCCCTCGTCTCTCAAATCTTGTTCAGCAATGTCAAATCGCGCAGTTAAGGCTTCTATGGCTTTTGTGAGGCTTCCAAGGTTGGGATCCATCTCGAAATTGGGATTTCGAAGGGAATATTGTATCCCACTTCGAGTGCGCGTGCAACAGGCTAGTTTCTAAATGCAAACTAGAGAATCTTAATAATAATGATGCAGTGAATTGTTAACTAATTTTTTCCTAAATGCAATCTATCAAAATGCAAAATCAATTCTAACACCTAACATGATGCCAGATGATAATGTGGACTACGATGGGAAAATGAGAAATCAACAAGGAGACCAATTCGCAATGTTCAATATGTTACCCCACGGCTTGTTACAAATTAGACATCAATTATTTAACTTGTGATAATTATATCAACAACAAATCATGCTGATAATATTGAACCGTAAGATTGTAGCAAGATAATTAACCAAGCTAGATTTGGAATAGTTCTAATTTAAAATCGAGATCTAGCACTAATAAAGGTAGAACAGAAACACACACTCACAAGTTTAGTGGACAGCCAACAATATTGATAATACGCAAGATGAACCAATATAAAAGAGATTGCAACAATTTCCAAATCAATTAGAAAGACGTAGAATTAATGATATTAGAATTACCTTGATGACGATTCACTAACAAACCTCTGTTAATGGTACTGCAGTCTGCGGGTTCAGGATGATTGA